AGCTCGGCACCCAGTCTCAGCTTCGATGGCGTCAGCGTCCGCCCTCGTAAGCGTTCCTGCTGGCAATGGGGCGCATATGTAAAACTGCGCAGGCGCGTCGCTCGCAGGAGGCAGCTCTGGCGATCGCCACTGCGACATGGCAGGGGCGACTCTGCAGGCAGGGCCTCATCGCAAGCCAAAATGGCTTGAGCCAAACTGTCGACAGCTGGACGTGGACACGGAGCGCGGACCCTCTGCTGCAAGGGCGAGCCCGTTGCAGCAGTTGGGTGTATGGGGGCGGTGGGTGGTGGGTGGTGGGTGGTGGGTTGGTACTGGGTGGGTGGTGGGTGGGTTGTGGGTGGGTGGTGGGTGGGTTGTTGGTGGTGGGTGGTGGGTGGGTTGTGGGTGGGCGGGTGGGTGGGTGGGTGGGTCCCCAAGCTGATCCTGAGGTTGCCTTGCCACCCCCCTCTGTTCCTCTCCTTCTCTTACTCCTCCTCCTCCTCCTCCTCATTCTCCTTCTCCTCCTCCTCCTCCTCCTCCCCATCCTCCTCCTCCTCCTCCTCCTCCTCCTCCTCACCTCCTCTTCCTCGTCTTCCTTCTCCTCCTCCCCCTCCTCCTCGTAATTATCATCATAGGTCCGACCTTGCAGGCTCACCGCTCCAGATTGAGCGACAGCTATTCCGAATGTTTTTTTTGTAGCTGGATACCACTGGGTGTACTTCTGTTCGACTGAAACAAAGCGGGCGAGGAACGCACGGCTGCGGAAGGGGAGGGGGCTGTGAAGGAGGCAGAGGGGGGTGTTGAGGAGTCGGCGGGGCACGAGGTGGATGCCGAGGGAGGGGCCCAAGGTTGGGAGGAGGAAGTGCGATGGACGATGACGATATCGATGATGATGATGGTGATTTCCTCATGCGCGCGAAATTATAGCACGTCAACGCCTGGGAGGTCTGGCACGACAGGCTGCACGCTGCCAGGGGCACTCGCAAAGGACGGCAACGACATGACAAACATGGCCGTTGAACAGTACATAACAGTTGTCGTCGCCAACCATTCGTTGGCGGCGCGCCGCTTCCACATGCGGCAAAAAATAAGGTGTTTCCAATCTGGCGTAGCAAGTGGGTTGCCGCCGCAGAAAAACAACGCTACGCCCACGTGGTATCGGACCCGATCGGCTGACAACAAAACAAACGAGCCGCTCTTAATCACCCCTCTGGCCGTGGTGATGCGCTTGGAGGCGCGAACTTGGCCAACCTTGGTTGGGAAAAAAACGTGTTCGATAAACTTGCCCAGCTGTGGCGATGGCTTGCTGGCGCCGAGAAACTCGGGCACGAGGCAACGTTCCACGCGCGCCAGCGCATGGAGCGTCTGCCGCCTCAACACAGTGCATTCCCACCCGTCCCCTGCCGAGTGGCGAGACGCAGCCTTGGCGTCTTTATGTTTTCTCTCCATGCTAAAGCACGATACAACTTCCGAGTGCGCAGCAATGCAAGCTGGAACGTGAAACATGTAATGGGTTTTCTGCTTGCACGCGAGGCGGCCGCACACGGCCCTGCACACAATAAAATGTTCGCGCGTTAATTGGGACAGAATGCCAACATTCTCAACGCAGTACTCCTTCCATACAAGCATGTCTGTTATCTTGCCCAACAACAGCATGCTGCGGCACTCCTCAACGAGTAAACCCTGCGGAACGACGACCATCTTCGCAAACCACGCCAATACCGCCACAGCTGTTACAGTCTCCCCCGCATAAGCTTTTATATGAGAGCCTCTGGCCCGCGTCCGATCCTGAAAGAACTTGCGCGGTAAACCTCTGAGGGGCTTCGGCGGCGAGAAGCTGCCGCTGAATCTGTCCAGGAGATCCAATGTGAACGCGGTGGCCTCGGTGAGATTCGCGCAGAAATAATTCACTTCATATTGGGCCATTCCGCTCGACGCAAACAACACATGCATAAAATCCCAAAACGTGTGATCGATCGGGGAAACAATGTCGCGCAAAGTCCTGTCCCATATCAACGCATGCGGATCATACGTGAGGCCCGCTGCCGTCTCCTCGTGCTGGAAAGCACCAGGGGCAAGAAGTGCATGGCTCTGGCGTTCGACGTGGTCTGCAAGGTCGTAAAAACTTGCGGTGGTGTGGAGATCGAACTCCTCTGGAAGAGCATCGTGCAAGTGCTTCGCATACATGTTCCCTGCTAACTTAGACACGTGGCACTTGACGACGTTCCTGCAGAAATAGCAGGGCTTGTAGCCCCCCGCCCCCTTTCGCAGCAAATGTAAACTTGAAAGCTTTCTCGTCTTGGATGATATACCCCAACGCACCAGTCAGAATACGCAACGATCTGCTACTATCCAAACATCGGAAACCACTTTTAAACGACGAGGCGCCCATGCTGAAAAACACATGCAACACTTTGCCAACAATTTCGGACAAACCTCCTTTTATCTTGCCTTCCACTGAACAAGGGATGTACCCAACTGTGAACCAGCCACACGCACGACTTTTGAACCACGACGGAAGTTGTGCCACAGTCCAATCCACCGACACAGCGCGCCATGCCACGCAGCACACAACATCACGCGTGGGAGGAGCAGGAGGAGGCGAAGGAGGAGGAGGAGGAGCAGGAGAAGGAGGACGAGGAGGAGGATGAAGAGGAGGCAAGCTCCGAGCGAGAGCACCGTTTTGAACAGAAGACGCGTTGAACCAGTTCGTCCGACACCCCGCTTTTCTGAGGACGTCTCGAGCGGGATCCTATGGGGGCCGGTATCGCCGCAGGTTTCCTAAATATATGCACTGCAGCTCTCGAGATGGATCTGGCATCAAGGGGTTCCCCGTCGTAAGTCCATCCGTGTAGAGCCCAACGCGAATCTCAGAACCACCTATGCTCGAGAACAACAAATCGGCAAACTTCGGCCACCGCCGACACAGCTCCTGCAACCATGCAACAGGATGAACGTACAAGAAATTATAAACAGTGCCATCGTCGAGAACGAATTCCATAGACCGAATCAATCTACCGCTGGGAGTGTCCACATCAAGTTCGTTCGAAAGGGCGCCCTTGAGTTTCGAGTTCGACTCTGTGCCTAACAAATCTGCGAGCACACGATCTGCTTGCGCCATACTCATTGATAAAGATTGGGCAACAAGGTCGAGTTTTGAGCGCTTCCTACTCTGAGCGTCCATGATCCGCAATGCCACGTAGGCGAGGCGTGAGGACGGGCAGGACGAGAACGGGGGGGTATGCCTCGAGCGAGAGCACCGTTTTGAACAGAAGACGCGTTCAATCAGCTCGTCCCACATCCCGCTTTTCTGAGGATGTCCCGAGCGGGATCCTAATTTTCAAGGTTTCGACGATTTCGCAACATCCTTTGATATCATATTTCTTTGCGAGGATGTCTCGAGCGAGAGTTTCAATTTTAACGTCAGGCGTCTCAAACCGACTCCGTTAGAGGATGTCTCAAGCGAAACGGCCGCTTTATTGGGGACAGAAGAAAAGGTCAGGCGGCGCGTCGGTCAGACGGACGGTTAGTCGGGCAACGGCGGCCTCCGCGCGCGCACCTTGGGCGCCTCCGCGCGGGGGGCAGTGAACACACGTTGGGCCAAATGTGGCCGCGGACAAGTGGGAGTCTAATTGAACACGTAAAATTGCTAATTTTTTGTATAAGAGTTGTAAGTCGGTGATAAACACTTGCATTGCAACCGTGTATAAGTTTAGCAAACCTGTATAACCAATGCCACACTTATACGCACATAGCAAATATTATATTAGCATGCGACCGACTCATATGTACGATATATACAACATACAATCACATCGCAACTCAACTTATATCTGCGACAGAGGCCACGGCCCGCGAAGGCGGGGCCCTCGAGGCACGTCTCTGGGGCATTTCGAGGCCGTGGTGGGGCTCTGGCCGGATTGGCTTCGGCTCTCTTGGGCGTTTTTGGGGCCGTCTTAGAGCGATGTGGGGGTCCGGGAGCCGTCGGGGAGCGCTCCAGGGGCGTCCTGGGGCCGTCGGGGAGCGGCTCAGAGCTCTGGCAGGTCGAAGCCAGCAGAACCGAGAGAGCAGCGGTGAGGCCCCCGATACAGCCAAGGGTGCGGGTGCTGGTATACGTAAGGCCCCCGAACAGGCTGTAGTGGCCTGCGGGCAATCTCGCCGCGGGCCTGGGTTATGGGTAAGAGATCTCGTGGATGTTGCTTGGGATCTCGTGGTTGGCTTCTCGGGAGCCTCTGGGAGACAGTTTGGGGGCTTCTTGGTAACAGTTTGGGGGCGTCTGGGGGCCTCTTGGGCTCTCTTTTGGGGCCTCTTGGGGGCCTTTTGGGGCGCTTGGCGGCCTCTGGGGGGCCTCTTGGAGCCTCTTTGGGGCGTCCTGGGGCCTCCTGGGAATGTCTTGGGAGCGTCCCGGCGTTTCTCTGGGGCGTCTTGGGGCTTCATGGGGGCCTCTTGGGGTGGAGGCCTCGATTTTTCGGTTCGGGGCCCCTGCCTTGGGCCTCTCTTGGGGCCTTCTTGGGGCCCCCTTGGGCCGTCTTGGGCGACTCTTGGGCCGTCTTGGGGCCCTCTTGGGGCCGTCTTGGAGGCCTCTTGGGCCGTCTTGGAACGGTCTTGGGGGCCTCTTGGGCGGCCGTGGAGCGTCGGAAAGCCGAAAAAGCGAGAAGGCCAGAAACATGAAAAAACAATTTAAATCAACGATTTTGGCTCCTGTGGCCCCTCTTGGAGGTGCACTTCGAGCGCTGTCGGGGCCTCGTGGAGGCGTCTCGGGCCGTCTTGAAGGCGTCTTGAAGCCATCTTAAGCGTCTCGGATACACTCTTGGACCGTCTTGGGCCGTCTTCGGGACCTCCTGAGGCCGTCTTGGAGCGACCTGGGAATCCTGGATCAGTCCGCGAGCGGTCCGGGGGCCTCCCGGGCCCGTCGGGCAGCGGCCTGGAGGCTCTCCGGGCGGCCCGCGAGCTCTCGGGGCGGCCCGGGGCGCTGCCACTGCTTGACCTTTTCGCAAGCGCTTCGCCCGGAATTGTAGTACAGATGACGCTGGGCTCCACAGTCGCATCACACATCTCGCTGAGCAGCCCAAGAGCCAGCTGCCACTGCTTGCCCTTCTCGCACGCGCTGATTCCAGCGCTGTAGCTGAAGATATCGGGCTCCACGGTCGCATCACACATCTCGCTGAGCATCGCCAGAGCCCGCTGCCACTGCTTGCCCTTCTCGCACGCGCTGATTCCAGCGTTGTAACTGAAGATATTGGGCTCTACGGTCGCCTCACACATCTCGCTGAGCAGCGCCAGAGCCCGCTGCCACTGTTTGCCCTTCTGGCACGCGCTGATTCCGGCGCTGTAGCTGAAGACGTTGACATCCATCTTTGTCAGAACCATGACCCGTAGTACCGACAGCGCTTGCTGCCACTGCATAGCTTCTCCGAATGCCCTGATAGTTGCAGTGTCCTGGCCTGGGCTTGCTTTTGCACGTGGTTGGGGCGATTCGCTGAACGGGTACATCTGGTGCTGCGCCGCGATCCATCGCCCTGTCCAGACGCCTGTTGGAGGCCGCACTTTTCGGAGGCCGCCTTGAGATCCTCGGCAGATGTCTATCATACTAAAACATATCGGGCAACGCTTTGAGACTGGCGTGGCCCCGACTCGAGTGCCTCTTCTGATAGAAGGTGAAGCAAGAATTACCAACAATATTCAAGGACCGCCAACTGACAAAGCATGATGGTGGCACGATGAAGCTCCGAATTGCCTTGAGTCCATATGGACGTGATCCACAATGGCGTGAACCACAACGGCTTGAGCCACAATGGCTTGAGCCAAAATGGCTACGGAAATGATGATGATGATGATGACGATGGTGGCGACGACGACAATGATGACAACGATGAACCGCTCTCGACGATGACGGCGGCGATGAAAGACCACTCCCGAGTGCGGCTCTCGAGGACACGACGCTGCTGCAAAGACCCCAGACGGCTTGACACGGACCGCGACGGGGGCGCGATGGGCCACCGACTCCTCGGGAACCCGGCACCCCTCGCTGGGCGGTGGGCCAAACACGGGGAGGCGCAGCACGCTGACAGGCAAGCCGCTGATGGAAGGGGGACAGAAAATCTCCTCCTCCTCCTCCATCTCCTCCTCGTTCTCTTCCTCCTCCTCCTCCTCTTCCTCCTCCTCCTCCTCCATCGCCTCCTCCCTCCACCTCCACCTCCTCCTCCTTCCTCCTCCTCCTCCCTCCTCCACCTCCTCCACAGGCAAAGCAGGACACCCCGACGCGCGGAGCCGCTTGGCACACGCACCCTCAAGAGGGATCGAGCAGGGCAGGGCCACTTCGTGAGCGCCCAGGGCCGTCTCGCAGGCGCCAGCCATCGGGTCCGGGTGGCCTGTCCTCCCTGGAAGAGAAGGAAGAGGGCGGAGGAGTGCGAGAAGGTAAGAGGGAAGAAGAGGGAAGAAAGGAAGGAGAAAAGAGAAGAGGGAAGAAGAGAGGAGGGAAGAAAGAGGGAAGAGGGAAGAAGAGAAGAGGGAAGGGAGAGAAGAGTGGATGATGGAAGAGGGAAGAAAAGAAGATAAGGGAAGATAAGACGATAAGACGATAAGAGCAGCAAGAAGTGGCGGCAGCGGCAGGAGAGTGGGTGGGGGGGATGGCACCCAGCACGCAAAACGTAGCACCCGTGGCAGTGGCAGTAACTAGGCTCAGCGTCGCTTGGGAGAGGGGCAGCAAAGCGACAGGTGTAGAGGGAAAAAAACAACTGCATAGACTGCATAGACATCATTTCTCGGAGGTCCGCACGGATTTCCTGGATCGGCGCTGGGCCCCCCTGGCGGCGCCGCCCCTGGCACGCTCCGCGCGCCAGGGAGAGAGGGCCCCGCGGCGATCCAAGGAATCATCGGGGACCTCCGAGAAATTATGTTTATGCACTCTGCGTTCTTCGAAGGAGGCGGGTTTCACACTGCTGTGCCTCCCGCCAATGGCTGCTATGGGGAAGACCTCTGGGGGCGCCCGACACTCTGGCTAGCAACGCTCGTCACAGGGGCCAGCTGAGATGACTCACGAGGGCTCGAGGTGGGCAAACCGACGTGCACACACAAACGGCTACGGCATCATCGAACGTTCTCGGGGCCGCCGCCCCAGTAGACGGGGCACTGCTGTCACAGACACGGCCAGGCTTGGCGGCAACGACGGCACCAGAGAAGAAAGGAGCCACAAAAAACATCACAGCCGCGTGCCAGTCAGGCAAGATGTGGCCTGACTGGCCTCGAGTCCCATAGTTAGTGCTCCGAGCTTTTGGCGAGCGCAGTCAAATTTATTTGGGGAGCCCCGGACCTAGTGGAACGTGAAGTCTTACTCGGGGTCGGCTGCATAGATTGCCTGCCTGCCGCAACCAGTCTGAATCCTCGACAGCGCTGCTTGCGACTTTTGAGACGATATTCCATCGCAGCTATTTTCCGTTGCAGCTCGCTCAGCGTAGTTGACGCTGGTGCCAAGTGCGTACTGGTCTCGACGCGACAAAGTCCTGCCATCACCGGCCAAGGGGTTGGCTAGCGCTGATACTGTTTGCGGGGTGGAGCATTGCTCAGGCATGAATGTAGCCGCAAAGGCACTGTCGAGGCCCCCTTGCTTCCCGAGCTACCTGGGTCCTGGCTGCTGGTGGATCTTGCGAATTGATCGTCGCGGTGCCCTTGTTGGTCGGTGATCCTTGGACGACGGCGGAGGTGGAGGCGCTCGGCGCAGTTTCGGGCATCGCTGCCATTGGTGGTGTCGCTAAAGAAGTACGCCGAGTCTGGTGTGCCGTCGCAGGTTGTTTTGCGGTCGGCTGCAGTGAACGCTGCGGTGAGCGCGGGTCGTCTGGGAGCGAACACTGCCAGCTCGGGGCTACATGAGTGGGCCGCAGTGCACGCCAGCCGACGCCAGGTGGCGGCGCCTCGGGCTGCAGCGGTGGTGGCGCCCGGGATCAGAGCCCGCCCAGCGGTGGCACGCTGGGCGCGGCCTTCTTGGGCAGTGGCCAGCTGGAGACGACCACTGGATCGGGCTTAGCCGTGTGTTCCCCATTGGGCCTTCGGCTCTGCCCACTTTACCAGCCTCGAACGTGTCCCTATCCCTAAGATTGACACACCAAAAGGCGATGACAATCTTAGGGATGCGCCCTCAAAAAATAAGGGAATCCCTAAGATCGGCATCGTGACGAGGAGACGCCCAGCATAGGGATAGGGATATGTTCCAGGCTGGTAACCACTGGTGTGCCGCAACGGCGCTGGTTCGCAGGTTGGCGCCCCCTTCCCAACGGAATGGGGGTCGAGGTTTGCGATGCCCTGTGTTGCGGTCGGCCGCCGTCGGCGGGGCCTGTCGGAGCCTGTCGGAGCTGCCACTGCCGCCTCGCGCTGTTCGCTGGGGGCGGTGTCGCCACGGCCGTGGGCTGCTCCAGGAGCACGGCGACCACCGTGGAGGGCGGTGCGCCCGTGGGGCCTGCTACCATTTTCGGCTGGGTAGCCCGTGCCGTCGTTGGTGGTGCAGTGGTCCATGTACGAGTGCTACCCTCATCTCCCACGAAAACGTCCCGTGAGCACTGCGCCCTTTCCTTCCAGTACTCTCTTCGATGGATGTTCCCGCTGTAGCGTGGGCTTCCTTTTCGGATCGGCGCGTGGCTTCCGTCGTTCAGAGTGGCGCTCCCGCCCCAACGCGGGCCGCTTTTCTGGATCCGATGCGCTCCTCACCGGCGTCTCCCCGCTCCTTGCCGCTACTCCGCCTCCCCTCGGCCCGCCTGCTCGTTCCTCTTATCCCGAACCTGCTCCTGCTGCTGCTGTGTTTAGGTCGGGCGTGTCTCTCTACAGGGGGATCTTGGGCGACAAATCAAAAATACTAAAAAAATACTCCAAAATATGCAAAACTAGTCAAACAATCGTCCCCAGTCTATTTTTATATTATTTTTGAATATTCCCCCTGTAGAGAGACACGCCCGACTTAATGCCATGGCATGTCTCTTCGTCCCCTTCCTTCCTCATAGTCCTCTTCCTCCTGCTCATCTTTCTGCTCATCCGCCATCTCCCCCTCTCATGTGCAAAGCTCCTCTTTCTGATTGCGCACAGCACGATGGGGCCCTCGCGAAGTTCCAGGTCCACTACGACACCCGTCGGCGGATAGAGAAAACATCAGCGCAGGGGAGGTGGATGCATGGGAGGGCAGGATGTCAGACATGGCGCGAGCTTGCTCAGCTTGCCCACCCCCATTTCGTCGAAGCCCGGACCGGGCACAAATCGAACAGGGATACAATCGACCCGTATCATAAAGACGCACGACAAGCATGCACGGCCCTTGGACACCCGTTTCGAAGCTTTTCGAGCGGGGTGCGGCCAACGCAAGCGGCCAAGGATAGGGGAACGAAGAATGACACAAATATAAAAACTCAGAGGTCCGCGTGGATTTCTCGGATCCGCGCTGGAACCACCTGGCGGCGCCTCTGGCGCCGCCCCTGGCGCGCTCCGCGCGGAGCGCCGATCCGAGGGGCCGGAGGCGCCGCCGGGGGGGTGTCCAGCGCCGATACGAGAAATCCGCGCGGACCCACGAGTTTGTATGTTTATGCCACTCTTCGTTTCCCTAGACGATGGGCCGAGGAGGGAGGGATGTAAGGGTGCCCTTGAGAAGCTTGCCCGTGCTTCCTGTGCGGGCTGGCCTCCTCCTCCTCCTCCTCCTCCTCCTCCTCCTCGACCTCCTCCTCCTCCTCCTCATCATCATCATCCTCGATCTCTGAGATCCGGCGGTTTTGGAGAGTGTAATCCACGGTCGCCGCGGCCGCTCCAGAGCGACCCGAGGGCTCTCTGCGAGCGCCGCAGGACGCTCTGGAGCGCGAAGTTCCCGGTCCTGCGAGCAAGCAGGCACGTCATGCAGTCGAGGCGTTGACCTAAGAAACGAGGCCCCTTGTTCCATAAGTTACACTTCGACTTCCCATCGAAAATGTAAGGAAAACCTTAGGCAAGGTGTGGAACAATTAAGGAACACCGAGCCCCTCCCCATCGAAAAGGATTCCTTTTGTAGCGCCCCGACTGCACATGCAAGAGGGGCGGAAAGCGCCATAAACATAACCTTTTGGCGCTCCGCGCGGACTTCTTGGATCTGCGCTGGACCCCCCTCTCTGGCGCGCGGAGCGCGCCAGGGGCGGCGCCGGAGGCGCCGCCGGGGGGGCCCCAGAGCGGATCTAAGAAGCCCGCGCGGAGCGCCGAACGTTTATGCTTATGGCCTTTCGAATCCACCCAGAGGTGCGTAGGACACTGGGCTGGAACAGTGCTGCTGACTAGAACGTTTACAGCTCGGGCCGCGCTGCGCTATACGGTCAGCTCAGCTGCGCGTACGAGTTACCGCCACGAAAAGCTTCCTTAGCCAAGAGCGGGCCTAACAATTTGACCTGCCGCCTGCCGCCGCGCAGGTGGCGCGTGGCACCTGGGTTGTCCAGTGACACTGGACAACCCGGGTGCCACGCGTACCGGTCTGCTGCCGGTGTGGAACTTCTAGGACAGAAGGTGGCCCTCCTGAGGAGGCCCGCTTCTGGTGTCCTGGCGATCTTGCCAAGCATGAGGAGCTGCTGTCGTGCCACCGTACCTGTCAGAGGGGGTTGTCCCGCTCTGTCTAAAACGATAACGTTGCTCACTCTGGAGACGCATGCTGGCTCGATTCCCCATATGACGCGAAGACAATGGCAATGGAAGCCACCCAACCGCCAGCTCTCCGCAGCATTCAGCCACAAAGTTGATAAACCATAAGTGAGCATGTCAAGAACAACGGCCTTGTAGACCTCAATTTGTCTGGGCCTGCTCAAATCTGAGCGTCGCCCCATCCCCCCGACAAAATTGGAGGCCCCAACACCCAGGAAAGCACCTGCGAAATCCTTTGGGAGACTGTGCCTCGGTCCACACCCTCGCGTCGAACACGCCTGCAGTGGCGCCCCCCTCCTCAGCTCGGGGACGCACTGGCCCCCAGGTCAGTGCAAACCCAGGCCAGCCTGTCTTCGCATCGCAGGATCCTGCAAAATCATGCAGTATCCTGCGCACTAAGCCGGGTCGATGCGACCCTGGCTCCCCGTTGGCGTTGGCCCCAGTCTCAAGGCTCCTGATGCATCCGCCGATCACTAAGACGCAGTCAGGACGAGGATCAATTCGGAGGAGGATAAGCCGAGAATATCTGACAACTCGCGGCTCTGAAGGATGTCTCGGGCGCCGTGGCTTCCGCAGAACGTTCCGGAACGCTCTGAGCGAGTTCCGAAACGCTCTGGAAAAAATTATCCTCGTCCTGGCACCGTCCGAGAGGAGGAGGAAGCGGAGGACGAGGAGAAGGAGGAGGAGGAGGAGGAACGCTCTGGAAAAGATTTATCCTCGTCCTGGCCCCGTCCGACCTTCCCCCCCCCCCTGGCGACGGACGCGGCGCGGCGCGCCTGGGCCTGGAACCCGCGAGTCCCTGCCACCCGCAGGAGGACCCGGTCGCCTGGGCGCGCCGCCGCCGCAGTCGGCAGCCGCCCCCGCATGCCGCGCAGCCGCGTCGTCGTCTTCGTCGTCGTCGTTGTTTTCGTCGTCGTCGTCGTTCGTTGTCCGTTTGTCGTCCGTCGTTGTCGTCGTCGTCGTCGTCGTCGTCGTGGTCGTCTTCGTGGTCGTCGTCGTCGTCGTCGTCGTCCGCCGTGCGTCGTGCGTCGTCTGTCGTCCGTCGTCCGTCGTTCGTCCGCCGTTCGCCGTCCGCCGCCGTCGTCCGTCGTCCGTCGTCCGCCGTCCGTCGTCCCTTGTCGTCGTCGTCGTCGTCGTCGTCCGTCGTCCATGGTCGTCGTCGTTATCGTCGTCCTCGTCCGTCGTCCGTCGTCCGCCGTCCACCGTCCGCCGTCCGCCGTCCGCCGTCCGCTGTCCGCCGTCCATCGTCATCCATCGTCCGCTGTCCCTCGTCCCTCGTCGTCTTTGTCGTCGTCGTCGTCGTCGTCGTTCGTCGTCCGTCGTCCGTCGCCCCTTGTCGTCTTCGTCGTCGTCGTCGTCGTCGTCCGTCGTCCATGGTCGTCGTCGTCCCTCGTTGTCGCCATCCGTCGGCCATCGTCGGTCGGCAGTCGTCCGTCGCCGTCGCAGGTGTTCTCGGAGCTGGTTGCTTCATCGCACAGCGACTTCCAGTGCATCAGGTGTGAACCACGCGGCCGCAGGCTCGGCGGCGCCCTCACGATGGTGATGATGGTGATGAGGAGGATCATGATGAGGATGAGGAGGATGACAATGATGATGATGAGGAGGATGAGGAGGATGAGGATGAGGATGATGTGGATGATGATGATGATGATGATGATGAGGATGATGATGATGAGGATGAGGATGAGGATGATGATGCTGATGAGAGGGAGGAGGAGGATGAGGATGAGGATGAGGATGAGGATGATAATGATGATGATGATGATGATGATGATGATGATGAGGATGATGATGATGATGATGATGATGATGATGATGGTGATGATGGGGATGAGGATGAGGATGAGGATGGGGATGATGGTGAGGATGAGGATGAGGATGAGGATGAGGATGATGATGATGATGATGATGTTGATGGCGATGATGATGATGATGATGATGATGATGATGATGATGATGATGATGATGATGATGATGATGATGATAATGACGGTGCTGACGATGGCGATGACGCTGGCGGTGACGTTGGTGATGCTGAATGTGATGCTAATGTTGCTGGTGACGATTATGGTGGCGATGGTGGTGGTGGTGACAAGAACCATCATCATGGCGATGACGATCATGGTGGCGATGATGACAAACACGATGATGCTGCCGATGACGGTGATGATGCTTTGATTAGAACGATGATGATGATACTGATGATGATAATGGTGATGATGATGCTGATGATGATGATGATGCTGATGATGATGATGACAACGACGAAGCCGACGACGGTTGACGACTACGACGAAGACGATAAAGATGATGAAGAGGGTAAAGATATTGATGATATCGGTAATCATGATGAGGCTGATGATGATGATGATGACACTGATGATGATGTTGATGCTGATGCTGACGAATGATGATTATTACGATGTTGATGGTGATTGTGATGGTAGTGAGGGTGATTGTAATGGTAACGAATATGGTGATGGCGATTGTGATGGTGGTGATGATGAATGAGAATTAATGATGATGGTGATGATGATGATGATGATGATGGTGGTGATGATGGTGATGATGACGACGACCTGTCCCCTATTTTTCGCGCCGCTTGGAGACCCCTCTGGGACTCTCTGGGGTGCTCTGGAGGCCGTGTCGGCCTTCCTGAACATCCTGGGGACACCTTGGGACAATAGCACTTCTGGCAACGCTGATTCTAGACCGCGCCCCGGAATCCAAACCGCGAGGGCGCGGACACGGACATATCTGCCCTCGCGGTTTCATTGCACGAGTCTCCTCTTACACGGCCGTGGGGCCCGTTTGGGGGACCCCCCGGAGGCCGAGAGTCTAGCCCAACACCGGCCGCTCAACTGCTTTCGGAGCTTCCGCTCTCTGGGTCCCCTTCGGCTACCCTGAGATCCTGGCGTCCCGATTTTCGAGGCGGGCGTTTCGGCATTCCCCCGGGCTCCAGGACCCTCACTGATCGAGCCGGCTGGCAACATGACGCAGAAAGATGGGGGCCAGGGCTCCGGGCGCGATCTCCTACGATGCTGCAACTTCTCCGCTCCATCGGATCTCAAGGTTTCGCTTAAAGATGCCCATCGGGGACCATCCGCTATGATTGGAACGATACAGAGAAGAGTACCATGGCCCTTGCGCAAGGATGACACGCACAAATCGAGAAGGGCATACAGTTTTAATTAATTAATATATATATATATATATATATATATAGATATACAAATACTTGGCTCCAACAAAAGTTTCCTTGGAAACTCGCAAGCGGAAGAATATGTATGTATACCCGTCAACAAGATGAAAAGTCGCGCGCGCGTGCTCAGCGCTCCCACGCACGCGATCGCAAGACCCCCCATGGCCACCACATGCTTCCAGGAGGGCCTCAGGCCACGGACGACAACGTCCAGACGACCCCAGGATGATGCCACCCCAACACGATCCCGCCATGGATTCTGGACCGTCTCAGGCCGACTCGCAGATGACGAAACACATGAGCAACGTGTGACGCCGAGATGGCCCGATGGCAACAAGATGGATCCAAGCGCGCCCAAGGTGGCCCCAGAATGACCATGCGACGACTGCGTGATCCAAACGCGACCGGGAGATGATCTCAAGATGACCTCAAGACGGCCCCAACACGGCAAGGATACTGCAACTTATGACCCCCACTTTACTTCGAGCCGATCCCAGCATGGCGGGATCCGTGAACGATCCGGGATTTTACTCTACCCCATTTTTAATGGGTGGGATTTTAATCGTCCTGAACTAAAGTTATAAGATTAAAGCGGAATAAGCCAGGCGGGATCCCGCCCGGCCCACGGAAGAAGACTACGTTGCTAAGCTTCTACAGGGATAGGGGGGTTCGGAAGGGGCGTCGTTTACTCCCGCTGACATCCGCAAGCCTTCCGACGGCCTTCCCCCGTCTTCCGCCTCGTTTTACTTCCGTCGACTTCCGCCGGCCAGCGTCGTGATGAAAATTCCAGGAACTGTCATTGGGCCGATGTACACACCTGTTGGCAGGCGTCGGCCCCAAACAGATGGTTAATTGTACTGTCAGGGGTGCAGGCCATTGGCCAGCGGCACGGGCGGCACGGGCGGCCTGCGGCGGCACGGGGCGGCACGGGGGCGGACCGAGGCGTCACAGGGCGGCATGGGCGCGGCACGGGTACGGAACGCAGGCAGGCATGGCCAGATGGTTAGACCAAGTAAGATCCCCTAGGTGGAAGCACCTGTCTGGGGACAAAAAAAACGCAAACAAAACAAAACATATATATATATATACACACACGCAAGGAGTGCCCTTTGGTGCGCGACTTTCGGGGGCTGCGGCCTCTGGCGCGCGACCTCCGGGGGCCGCAGAGCGAGGCCGAGCCCAGAGATGACCAGAGGCGCTGCCACACCACACCGCGTGCAGTCCTCCGAGGCGGCAGAGAGGGGGGGGGGGTCCAAGAGGGGGGATGAGGAGACGGAGGAGGAGGTGTAGGAGGAGGAGGCGGAGGAGGAGGAGGAGGAGGAGGCGGAGGAGGAGGAGGAGGCGGCGGAGGCAGAGGAGGAGGAGGAGGAGGAGGAGGCGGAGGGAGGAGGAGGGGGACAAGGAGGAGGAGGGTGCAAATCATGACCGGCGGCATGGCGCGGCCTAGCGGGGGGGCCAGGGACGTAATGAAACAAGAAGAGGCGCCATGACATCTGGGGAAACATCATGGCCCCCGCCATGATGTCCACCCCCCCCTAGTCATCACCCCCCTCTTTTCCGCCCCCCACCTCTGGGGGACCCCAGTGAGCCCGCACCGAGGCGGGTGGCGACAGCCGAACCCTACCCCGAGTTTCTCAATAAGCGTCGGGGGGGCGTCACCCCGGCCGACAGCCCCACACCGAACCCCGCCGCGGGCAGCCACCGCGCGCCGAAGGCGCTGCGACCCCCGTCGCGGCGCGACGACGAGGCGAGGTTGACCCCCGTCGGGGGGGGGGGTACCCACCCACGCTCATTAAGAAACCCAGGGTACCCCCACCACCATGTTCTGAAGCACTCATGGGAGCCTCCCATGCCATCTTGTTGACTCTTGCGAATCGACGCTAGTCGACGCTGAATCAACGCTCATCGACGCTAATCGACGCCGACCGACTCTGAATCGGCGCTGTCTCATCGACTCCCAGACGCTAATCGACGCCAATCGACGCTAAAGAGAACCTTGCGAGGGTACACAAGGCTCCCATGACTTGCCACCGACCACCATGGATCCTGCTTAATCGATGGGAGGAGGGGGTAGGGCGCGGCTTTCGCCGCGTGTGCGACGGATTCCGAGGCCTACCCCGCCGCCCCTCGCGTGGCCTGAATCGTTGATCGGCGAGGGCAGGGCTTGCATCTCGCCGCTGCCACAAAGGTCAGGCCGGCGGACGGGCCCCCTTCTACGTCCAGCACGGGGGGAACGGCTCCTGAGGGAAACGGGCTCTGGAGAGGCCTCCCCCAAGACGAGCTCTTCAAACTGAGTCGTCTCCTGACAGTCCTGGGGCCCGTGGAGGGCCCAGAGCGCCCGAAAACGCCAAAGAATCGCGGGACCACATTCCCTCAGGAATCGTTTCCTCTATGGCGTTGCGTTCAGCCGACCTCCCCTGAAATCCGACGGCGCGAAAAAAATTGAACATTCTTAAAAATAATGACCGGGGCGCTAGACCCCATCTGTCTGCGCCATCTTTCGAGCCAGATCGATCTGCAAGGGTCCCAGAACCCGAAACCTGACGAAAACGCCCGGCTCGAAAAAATCGAGACACCAGGATCTCAGGGCAAGACCCGCTGACCCCATGGCGTTACGCAAAGCT